TCTAGTTGCTGTACGTGGGACTCGGCCTCGCGTTGGACGGAGAAGTGGTGCCCTGGGGCGTGCCCGGGATCCGAACCCGGGCCGCCAGCATCAGAGCGCGCACACCCAACCGCTAAGCCACGGAGCCGGCCCATTTCTGGCATTTTGAAGAACCAAGTTGCCCACACTATATTTTTTAAGTGAAGAGAGCTATCTTGTGAAGTCCTGATATTTTGAGAGCCATAGTGGAATAAAAGTGAATTTCTCAAGTGTGTCTTGAGAATCCCCTACATTACTTATTAAATAAACATGCAGATTCCCAGCCCTTATCTCAGTTCTACTGACTCAACTTGGCCAATGACCAGAATCCTTAATTCTGTGGATACTTGAAGGCTTATGCTGACATACTTAATAAGAATATCTGGGAGTTGAAGTTGAGAAATCACGTACCTTCTGATAGGAGGACACAGCATCACTTCTGTGTATTTTTGCTAAAAATGCATCACCTTATTCTACTAATGATAAAACATCAAACAAACCTCAATTGGGAGACATTCTACATAATAATTGTCTAGTACTTTTCAAAAGTGTCAAGGTCATTTGAGACAAATAAGACTGATTAGAGAAGACTGAGGAGGCATGATGATAAAATGCAATGTGGGATCCTGGACCGGATAGGGGACATCAGTGTGATAATTGATGAAATTTGGGTAAGGTCTGTAGATTAATTTATAGTATTGCTTCAATGTTAATTAATTCTTAATTTTTTAAATTAATTCTTTTCAAGTTCTTGTTCAACAATTCTTACATCTCTATAACTTTTGTTGCTTTACTCCATAAGTTTGTGATCTTTATTGCCTAAGCTAGGCAGATTTTCAGATCTTCCAAAATAATAGTATGTGAGTTCTGTATGCACTTTTTCTTTGCTTGGAATCCCCACTGTTAGGTGGTGTTGCTAGACAATTAATAATTGTGGTCCTTTTTTTGGACAGATTAGTGGGGTATAACATTGATTTAGTGCGTTTCTACTAGCACTTAAAAGAATTAAATAGGGTAAAAAATACCATGAAACTTTTGTTTTTATTTATACATGTATGTGTTGCGTCTGTCCTGGGTGGTCATGTAAAATGTATTTTGGTTACTCTTGGTTACCGTCATAAAAAGTTTGAAAGCCCTGCGTTAAGAGCTATCAGCCTTGTGAAAACAGATGAAATTGTCAAAAGCGTTGTGTTGTACAGACAAATGATAAGAACTTGAGAGTGTTTTGTTTGACTCTTAGGGAACATTTTGGGGCCAGGAGGGTTGTCTAAAAGTAGAAGAGTTTTTCTGGGCTTACCTTTTGCATTTTTAGTAGAATACAATTCCCAGTAGTGACCTCCAGAAAAATTATTTAAATGCAGGATGCCTGGTATGCCTGCAAATAGGTAAATCTGTTGTGGTACCAAATCCTGTGCTTTGTTTCAAGGACAGAATTTGGTTGTAAAATTTAAGGGCGTGCTAGAAATTACTAAAAAGCAAACAAACTAAATCAAAACAGAAAAACCTAGATGTGCCAGAGCAGATGGACAGAAATGTGCCAAGGAAGAACAGAGCAGTTGCTCAAGAAGCAGGAAGTGGATTTGTCTCACTGCTGTTCTGGGCAACTTCCCAAATGCTTTAGGGCAGGAGTCCTATAGGAGTGTCTTTTCTCTACAACTTTTGCACTTTCTGCTAAGAAAAGTTTTTGAGTACTACGCTATTTATTAAGTTATTTTAAGAATGGAGCTTGAAGTTCTGTGCACATGTGATCTTCACGCTGCCCAGCACGTGCCCTGCTCGACCTCCAGCTTTGTTGGAGAAAAGAGCCTAGGGAAATGTTTTATGATTACTATTTTTTAGCATCTGAATTTTGGAGAGATGTGTTAGGGTGTAGTGGACTCTTGAGATTTACGAGATCTGGGTTTTATTTCTGGCTCTGCCACTGATTACTGTTTAACCATTGCCAAGTAATTTGACTTTTCTCAGCTTCAGTTTCTGTCTTCTGTGAAATATAAGGGGGGAATCTTTGAGATGATGGGCGAATCAAATGAAATAGAAAATAGGAAAGAGCTGTGGTCTCTACAAAGCACCTTACAGATGAACAGAAAGCAGTGATTTGTTACTGCTTGTTCTCTTAATTAGTAGAAGAGGGTTGCATAGTGAAGAGGGTTACGTGTACAAAACATTTCTTGGCACATTAAACAGTCTTTTATAAATTAATACAAAAATCTGTAATAGAGGAGCTTGAGGAGGTTATCACATCATGTTGAGTTGAGACCAAACAGTGCTTTAGGACTTGAGCTTTTTTGAGGTTTTGAAAGCAGAAGATGGTGTTATATACCCTGTGTATTGAGTAAAACTGTCATCTATACTGGAGAAATTTTGCAGAATTAAAGTATTTACTCATTCTGGTGGAAGTACAACTCCTAGACGATTAAACCAATTTAGTTTGTCTCCTGCTGAAACATTGTGAGGTTGTGGGACAAATGTTATATTTTTAAGAGGATGGGTATTGAATTTAATTTTCCTGAGACCATTATAATCAGGAATCTTTTTAGCCCAATTGTTTGCTCTCTGTTAACTAACAAGATGATTCACTCAGACTTTATTCCATTCAAATTAAATCCTTTGGAACCAGCCCATGTAGTTTCAACTTAGTTTCATTTCCTGCAGGGGTAGGATGCGTTTTTTTTTTTCCTTCCTTAACTTCTCATAAAGAGTACATAGCTCCTCCAGTACAGGCAAATTTCAACAAGAAGAGAGGACAAGTCTTTTTGGAAATCACTTTCGTCCCTTCATTCAGATGTTGTGAGGGATTTTTAAAGTCCCTTTTGCAGCTTTCTAGATAAGCATTCACTAGTCAGTCTTTTTTCCTTTCAAAACAATGTTCCCTCTTACTGGCCTAAAAATATGCAGGCATTCATGAATTAATTTCTCTCTCTCTTCTTTTCATGTGTCTATAACTACATATTTCCTAGAGAATTGTTTTAATGAGATTGTCAGATAGTGTCCCAGCCCCAGTCCATGATGTTTTAGGGCAATACATTTTTAATTTCTTCTGCACTGAAGACATTCTTAACAGGGTATTTAAGTCAGGTGAAATAAATGGAACCTAAAGAAACAGACTTGTAAAAATACTTGAAAGTATTGTGGTACTAGAACTGGTTTCCTTCCTAGTTCAAAACCATTTCAGAAACTGCATGAATGACCTTTATTTTCTTCTCTGTAGTGCACACGACTATAATTTCCCATGACTATTTATGGTCTGTACAGCCCTTTTCTAACTTCCTTTTTCTTTTTCTTTTTTTTTTAAATGTCAACGGAATACGTGTTTCTTTAATGGAAAATGTTCTATTTTGGGGAAGCTGCTTTTCCTTAGATAAGTAGTGAAGTTGGGTGTGTGTGTGTAAGGGGGCGGGTTGCAAGATTGGGGAGTATTACATTAGTGGATTGAGAGTTTGGAATGACAGTCCTGGTGATGACTCCTGAATTCAAAGCCTTCTTTTTATCCAAGATTAAAAATAACTGTACCTGGTATTCCATATTCTTCCTTTTTAAGGAAGATTTTATTCTTTTTTCCTAACATATGGCGGAATAGTCCTGAATTGAATGCTGAAAGTTTCAAACCCAGGTGGTTTTGAAATGAGAGAAAGGCGTTTCATTAGCAGGGTGGTTCCAGTGGGGAAGCAGGGCAGCTTTGACCTTGGTAACAATAGCAGGTGAGTCCTGTGGGCTGAGCACTCGCTGTGTTCTGGTTGCTGCAGCTTCACGATGGAGCACACCCAGTGGAGATCCGTTGTGAAGCCGGAGGGTTGTCTGTCTGACTCATGAGCCACACACAGTGCCTGCTCTGTCCTTCCCTTCCCTTTTGAAATGATTTGGAACCTGAGCCCAGCAAGGCTTCTGTTTCAGTTCTCCAGCTTTGCATTTTGCATTTATCTGTGTTTCACAATGACTGTGGAAGGATTATACTATTTTGACAATTTTAATCGTCAAGTGAAAAACGTTCTTTATGTTTTAGCCATTGTTCACTCTATCATTTGGATAACTGATAGCATATATATCTTATTTGTTTGTTAATGTAAATTTTATTGAAGTATAATATAAATACAAGAAAGGGGCCAAATCATAAGTATAGTACTTGATGAATTTTCACAAAGTAAACACACTTGTGTAACCAGCACTCAAATCAAGGACCGGAATATTATCATATTAATCAGAAACCCTCCTAGACACCACCTTCCTTCCCTGATTGCTAATGCCATAGATTAGTTTTGCCTGATTTTGAACTCTACAATAATGGAATCATGCAGTGTATCCTCTGGTATCTGGGCTTCTTTCACTCAATTTATATTTGTGAGATTCATCCTGTTTATGCGTGTAGTTGTAATTCTTCATTTTCACTGCTATATACTATTCCATTATTTTAATACAGAGCAAATTATCTCCTGCAGTTGTGAATATATGTCAGTAAAATGTGGTTTGGACATTATACTAAAAAGGACTTAGTCACTATGTGATTTAGTTGTGTTGTGATGTAATGCCTAATTGTTTTATAAGAGCTCTTTTATTTAAAAATAGGCAGTTGTTTTTCTCTTCCTTAAGACAGAGTATTAACTTTACCATATCACTCTCCCTTCCACTCCCTAGCAACTATAAAATTAATCAGTTCCTCTCACTTTTGTGCTTCCATAAAAATTGATTTCTATCTCTTTGTATTTAACCCACATGAATAGCTATTGTTTTCTTCATGGATAATGGGGTCGCGTATCCATGCCTGCTAAAGCCGGAGTCTGTCTTTAAATTCGTGTTTCTAAACCCAGTTTCTAATATGCCAGGTATCAATCAGAAAACTTCTAGGTTTTTTGGAGGATTCTGGACTAGCACTCTGGCTTATCAGTGGGATTCTGTTGCATTTTGTCATTGTAGCCTGAGATTTCTGAATGCATCTGCGAACAAACTGGAAACCCTTCCTCCAGCCACACTTTCTGAAGAGACGAACAGCATCTTACAGGAGTTGTATTTGACAAATAACAACCTCACAGATAAATGTGTGCCCTTGTTAACAGGACACCCCCATCTGAAGATCCTTCACATGGCCTATAACCGACTTCAAAGTTTTCCAGCAAGGTAAAAGATCACAAAGTGATGTGCATTGCGTTTCTGAAAATGGATTCATAGATGGCAAGGCAAAAGCTAAAATGTTTATTTCCCAGATAATGTAAAGCTTGTTCCTCCTGATTCTGGTTCACAGTTCTCTTTTATATAGGTCATGATCAACATGCCCCTAAAGGGAAATGTGTTAGTTTTTCTAATATGAATGTATCTGAAGATATTCTTATGATTTTGAAATAAGAATTCTATGAGCCATAGAATATTCTTATGATTTTGAAATAAAGTATATTATTTATTAGGTATATTTTTTCTTTTGCTTCTCTTTAACCAGTTAAATTAATTTTTAAAAAATTAACCTAATATGGTGTGTGAGAATTAGAACATGAACTAGGAAGCTAAAGGTTCTTAATTAGCTATGAGCTTTTATACTTGGACTTATGGTATAAAAAGTAGTGGTGGCCTGTGCAACCATAGAAACTGTGTGACATTACAGATAAATTATGGCTCTCAGAAGATTCCATTTTTAATTCTGTTTTAATTTTAATTTTTAGTTTTTGAGAGCAGTAGCATTGTGTCTATCTTTGAGTGACTGTACACACTGAGCTCGCCGTGGCGCGTTTACTCTACTTCCATGTCATTGGCATTTATCCATCTAACAAGTTAGGACTTGGAACACACACCCACGCATCAAAGAAGCAAACACAAACCCCTCTGGTATTCTGCTGCTAACTGCCACTCAGCACTGGGCCAAAGCAAAATATTGGCACAGCCTCCCTCTGCTGCCATTATAGCTACAAGTCTGTTGAAACCCTTACTAAAGGAGGAAGGCCCAAATATGAATTGACTTAAAGTACTGCTCTGTGTTTTATAGTATATATTTATTTTTAAATTTTTTCTTCTCATTTGATGTTAATGATTAAACTTTTTATTCTTTTTTTACTTCAGTGTACTTTTATTTTACTATAGAATGAGGTGACGATATTTTTGGAAGAAAAAATGGTAATCACATAACAATAATATCTCTGAAAGGGCTCATCGTCCTATTTGAGATGGTGAATGACTAAGCCCTGCAAGAGAAATCATCATCAACCCAAATTCTGAGCGTATCCTCCAGGGATCCATTCCAAGTGTAATCACCCTAAGTACGGAGACGTTTTTTAGGCACCTCATAAAAATCCATAAAAATCCATCTTGCTATATTTCTGTCTCTCTGGGGATTGTGATGTGGCACAGTAGCTCCCCTACAAGACCCCGAGTTCCTTAAGAGTCAAGACTGATTTTACTCCTTTAGCCTCATGTCTCACCCGAGGTTGGGCCTGGGGTAGACTCTCAACAAATGGTTGCTGAAATGGTTGCATGAAGAACATGCTCCAGCAATCAAGTCCTTCTCCGGCCACCTTCTTTCTGTGTTGAGGGATGGAAACTTCTTTAATTTTTCCTTTCTTGGGCCTGATTTCAATACTTTCAATCATTTTTCATGCCCTATTACCCACTGATTTCTTTTCAAAATATGATGACAACATATTCAGATAATAGTCTTACACATTCAGGCTTCAAATCCATTCAGATGGATTACTTCACAGTCTGTGTATATAATGTTGTTTGTAGCATATCCTGATACCATGTTGGATGTTCACAGCATTAAAAGATCTGATTTCATAAGGTAAAAACTTTGTTCTTGTTGCATCTTTGGCATATATTTATTTTCAAGATAGGCAAATAAGATAACGTTTATTTTTGAGAGATAATAGGAAAAAAGTAGTAAAGGGTTTCTTGCTTAATTTTTTAAAGATTTGTTGTGACAAAGAAACCACAGCAAGCAGAGAAGACACCAATAACCGTAAACTAAGTGATTCCGGTTGTTAGTTTGAGTTACACTCACTGGGAACCCTGTGCTTCTTGGAGTCCAGCATCGCCAGTGGTTGAAAAAGGGTCAGAGGAGTGGTAGATGCTATCATAGAATTGTACAGGTGGAGGTTTTTTTCCCTCTAAATTTATAGAAAATTCAAGAAACCCTAACCCTGGAATTTTTCTTTATTTGGTTACTGTAATTATTGATTAATATTATTAAGATTAATTATAGATGATAGATTAAGATTGAACAATAAAAGTCATTCTTAAACAAAAGTGTTAAATAATATTAGGACATGTTATTAAGGGAAGGTCAGAGAGATTCATTCTTTGTAGATGTTTAGCAGGAGTTGAGAGAAATTTCTTTTGGGTGTGGTTTGATTTGGGCATTGCCAGAAGGTAGGGAGATGACCCAGATGACCTTTCAGCATACCTCCTACTCCTCACCACCACCTTGTCATCACGAATAATGCCGGAGGAATTTGTGAAGTGGGGTTTTAGGAGAAAGCATATTTTCATACAAGCTATAGCCCTATTCTCTACATCCCCTTGAGTTTTCAGTGCAGGTACAAAGCAATCATACTCTCAGACTATGCTCTTTTAAAGCACTTGTATTGGATTAATGCTAACTTTTGACCCATTTGAGTAGGATTTTCACTGGAGTTCAGACTAAGCTACATAGCAAAGTGATTGTTGCCAGGATAACTTAATTCACACACGGAGTTTTAAGAGGAAAAAGACATCCATTTTTCTTTTTGTTACCAATTTGAAGAGTTGAAGTTAATAGTTTTTGTTTTATAGTAGGAAAGGAGGTATTAAAATACTTTGATACTCAAAAACAATAGTGAAAAAATTGTCTTATTTGTTAAAATGACTATTACAAGTGAATCTTTAAAGAATATTTAGAGTCATAGTAAATTCCCCTTTTGATTCTCATTATATATTATTTTCTTTTTAAATTGCCTTATAATTATTTTATGACCCCCTACCCCTTGGATTTTCTCTTTTTTAGTAAAATGGCAAAACTGGAGGAACTTGAAGAAATTGATATCAGTGGGAATAAACTGAAAGCCATCCCAACAACTATCATGAATTGCAGGCGCATGCACACTGTAATTGCTCACTCCAATTGCATTGAAGTCTTTCCTGAAGTTATGCAGCTCCCAGAAATCAAGGTATGTGGTTTGATTCCATAAACTCCAAGCTTCAGGTCAGCAAAGAGAATTGTTTTCTCTAATTCATCAATTCAGGATGTTTGCACCTTTGTTGGATTTCCTCAGAAGGAAGACTCTTCATCCTTCCTAACCACTGGGCTACACTGTTGAGTCAGGAGAGGAAAAAAAACTATAAACAAAAAACACTGGATGGGGAGTTGGGCTTTGTCCCTAACTTGCTGTATGACATGAGACTAGACACATAGCCACCTAACTCTTTCCCATCCAACAATACTTGTCCTTCTTATTTCCAGGGTGGTTATGAGGCTCAAAGACTGAGTCAGATGTGCAGCAGTTTGAAAAAGTTAACAGTACCACTGCCCACCCCTCCCTGCCACTTCCCCTGATTAAGTGGCACCCACCACCACAGCACCCAATTAGTCCTAATTCCTTATGTAGATATAGCATCATTACTGTCACCAAACATTCATTTCAATTTAATGAAACTGGCAGAACAGATATTATTCCCATTCGATCAGTGAAGAAACTGAGGTGCTAAAAAATGAAGGGATTTGTGTGAATGAAGACAGCAAATTGGTGGCAGAGATAGTCTGCAACTCCTGACTTCTGACTCAGAGTGAACTCATGGGCTGAAACCAGCTCACTAGAATGAAAGCCATCTAGCAACTTTTTAGTCATGGATCTTTTTGGTGCAAAAGTCAAAAGTTCTTTATATATAATATAGTTTTTCATTTGCATCTTAGCATTTCTGGTTATCAATTTTTTGCTTAATAAAAAAATAACTCAGTTCTTTATAGATTTGGAGCATGTTCTAATCTCCTGTAAAGGAGCAAGTCATCCTACTTGGCCATTCTTCACTTTTCAGACACTTTCAGATATAAACTTCAATGTACCAGATTAAGAAATTATGTAGACATTTGAAGACACTTTAAATAGCATGCGTAATTTTTCATCACAGCAGTTTTTATTCATTTACCTGGTTGTGGTATGTACAAGCCATTTTATAAGTGTGTGCATGTGTGTGCCTTAAGCCATGAAATATTTTACTTTGAGCACACTGTTGTCTGATACATCACCATGGCATTTTAGAATATTTATTATAAATTAGCAGAAATATTTTGCTTTTACTTTCTGTGTAGTACCTTCCACGGTGGTCAAGAGGCATGACTCTGAAGGGAGACAGACCTAGAGTTAGATCCTGGCTAAACTTAGTGAACTGCTCCGTTTCCGTAAAATGAGGGAAAGAATAGTGAGTGCTTCCTTTACAGTACTGCAGTGAGAATGAAATGCAATAATACGTGTAAAGCTTTTGAAATAGGAGTGGCACATAGTAAGAACTCCATAAATGTTAGCTATAATTAATACAAGTCCTCAATATGGTTCAACTAGGGTGCTGAGTATGTGGAACAACTGTTTTGGCTAGTGATCAACAAAATCCAGGCAATCTATTACTTAAGCAAATGCTTCTTTGCCTCCAGCACAGGAACGATGTTGACAGCTAAGCTTTCCACGGGCTCCGCCACCGCCCGTTACTGGACGTGGGGGCTGTGCTCTGGGATCTTGTACAGGGGCTTGTTAAACTGGTGTTTGTGCACCCTGCACTGTGACACACCAGCACAGGGAGGGGAGAGTGTCAACGTTAACCTCCCGTTTGCTGGTCTTACTTTCTGTATCTGTCTTTTCATGTTGTAGAACTCTTAATTGTAAATTGATGTGTGGGGTTTTTTTTAAGTGCCTGGTTTAAAATACAGATACAGATAGACATTTAAACTTTTCCGGTTGGGCTAGATTTTGCAGAATATGAATCTTGCTCTGTGAAAACAAATCCTCGCCTAGACCCTTGCTTGGATTCCTGACTGCTAAAGTCAGTGCCTTCTATTTCTGTTTAATTCCATCTGTTTTGTCTTCTCCCTATCCCCTGCGTTACAGCTCCTTTTAAAATTTTACTTCTGGCGTTGCTTTTTAAATGGTTTTCCTTCTTTTGTTCTTTGATTTTTTTTTTTTTTTTTTTTATCCCAGCTATTATGTCTTCACATTTTCCTTATGTTAACAGCGTCCAGTCTTTCTGATCCGGCTCTTCCATTATCAAATAGATAGAGATTTTGTTGTTGGGTTTTTTTTTTGGAAGAGGTGAACAATATCAAGTATCTTTATGTACAAAAGTATAAATTTTACAGCCCTGGACAGGTAGTGTTATTGAAAAAGTAGTGGTTATATCATTTTAGAACTCTGAATTGATGTTTTAGTGTTCTTTCACATGAAAATATTCCAAGTTGCAATATGAGTACTTACACACATTTAAACCATCCAGAAGGAAATTTCTGGTAAAAATAGTTGCTGCATCTGAAATAATAAAATACCTATGAGAGTCTTCACTGCAAACTGAGCCCTAAAGCATGTTTTTAATATAAAAGAAATAATTTTTTTCTGAAGTTGAAATACTCCAGCCTATATTAAAATTTTATTTGCTTCTTGAAAATAATTGTAATTGCAAAGTATTTCATAAAAGGTATTAAGATCATTGCAATTACAAAAACTTAGCAGATAACATATTTTAAAGAGGGTTAAGATAGTGTATTTAACTAGCTAGTTTTTTTCCAAGCAGTCTCATCTTTTAAGACATTAAAGGAAAATGCTTATTCACCACTTTGTTACCAAAGCTTTCAAACCAGTTATTTAAAAGAGTAAACAAGTCCCCTGACTAAAATATATATGCTAAAATGTAATTTTTTAAAAAACTTGAAAAATTAGGCCATTATTCACTTACTCCTAAAACAGAGACTATATACATCCTCTAATCTTAGATAAAATTTAGATCTGGCCTTTTTTCATTTTGGTACATTCAATGAGATCTGTTAAAGTGGTCATCAGGCATCAATTTCTATACTTGGGCAGGAAGGTCATATAAGTTGTTATTAAGAAAAAAGTATATTTTTCAGAGTTTTTTAGTGAGCCCAAGTGGACCCAAAGTCATAGTACTTTTGTTCCTTAGTATTATTGTCTTCACCTTTGTTTAGCACTTTCAAATTAATCTTGCACACGCCTACCACCAGTCCTATATTCCTGGAGCAGGTTGTGTTCTGTTCTGGTTCTAAGATAGACAGTCCTCCCTCTGGATGTAGATCAGCTAGAGAGGAAAACATGATCCCAGAGTCACCACATAAACCGGACTTGGCTTGGCTGGTCTGGGGCCAAGTCCCCACTTAAGCTTCTAGTAGCTGATGAACCCAAAAAGCAAAGGTGGCCATGATTGGTTCCCCTTGCTCAGAGACCCTTCCACAGAACCACATAATAGTCACATGGATAATGTAAGAGTTTGGCAACAAAACCCAAGCTTTTAGTTGAGTATCTTCCAATAAGTGACTTATTCTAATCTTTTTTGAAGTGTGGTTTAAGCAGATGAAATAAATGTGTGGCAGAAATAGTGAATGAAATCAGTAATTTAAACACCATATCAGCAACTTCTTTGTCAAATTTTCCGTGTTCCTGTGGTGTCTTGATTCTAATTACTGGGTGAACAGCATTTTTTAAAGTATTTTAACTTCTCTTCAGAAGATTATTTTCATGTTTGTCCTCTGTGGTAATAAACTATTTGGATAAGTTGAGTGAACTCATCTCTAGAATTTGTGTTATTTTCACTGGGAAATGGCGTATGAAGTATTTTTAATATGCCACACTTTTGAGAACAATCAACAGGAAGTTGAATCTCCCTTGGAATCAAGCCCTGTTTGTTGTTGTTTCTAAAGTGAGGTGACAGAGAGAACAGCTCAGTCATAAAGACACAAAGAAATGGGGAAATGTCTGGATCAGAGTGGATGAAAGAGAAGAGGTTAATTCTTTGGAAAGTAGGATAATGGAAATGAAAACAAATCAGGGACCAGTTAGGTGTCAGTTGGGTGGAGTAGTTGACCTAGTAGACTTAAAAGGTTATCTAGGCATCTGTACTGCATATTCAAAACCAGAATCCAGGAGCAGTCATCATTATGGTCCTGGAATCTGAGTAAGTAACAGTTACTTGGGAAATTTTCTAACAGTTGGGGAATCTGATGTCTGTTCCTGTTTGGGACAGGGTTCCATACAAGGGCTAAGGAAAGAGGAATGAGGCAATGTCTACCAGGAGGTGGCCATTTAAGCCACTTTTCTCCCTGCCTCACTAGCAACAGACCAGTAGGAAGCTAGGACTACAAGTTCTCTCTCTTTCAAAATTGGTGTAATGAACTAATTCAGGGGCTGGCCCCCTGACTTAGCGGTTAAGTGCGCACGCTCCACTGCTGGCGGCCTGGGTTCGGATCCCGGGCGCGCACCGTCGCACCGCTTCTCCGGCCATGCTGAGGCCGCATCCCACATACAGCAACTGGAAGGATGTGCAACTATGACATACAACTATCTACTGGGGCTTTGGGGGAAAAAATAAATAAATAAATAAAATTATGAACTAACTCAGACTAGTTTGTTTGATTTTTTTAACTTCAGAGCCATGTCTTCTCCAACAAAAGACTGCATGCATCATATGAAGTGGGTTATGTATCCATACAGATAAACGACTGGTCCTCTGTGAGCTCATGCATATTAAAAGTCCCTTTAGAGATGCTCCTGGAGAAAGGAGCACTTGTGACAATGAGTCCACAAAGGAGTAGGCTCTGAAGTGGTCACCATCATGCTCTTCAAACTCTTCCATCCTAAGGGTAAAGAGAAGTGAGCTCATACTCCCAGACATCTGGAATATGGCCTGGAATCACCTGTAAATTTCCTTGAAGTCTCCTTTTCAATCTAAAATTACATGCTAATTTTGTGTTCTACGTTTTACCATTTCTGTTAGTTTTAATGTAAAAATAAAGGCTCTTCCTCTCCATAATCTTTGAGTAAAACTGAAGCCCCCAGAAGCATGGGCCAGGTGCCCTGTAACCAAGTCCCCCTGCAATGGTACACATGACCAATTTTAAGAAGTGATGATGTAAAGGAATTGCTCAGTTTATGTAAGATGCATTTTCTTAAAGTCAAATTTTGCAAATGATTTAGTTTTAGTGTTTAAGAGAATTCGCTGTTTGGAGGAGTGGAATACCATTTGGTGGAATGAGGATTTTTTTAAAACAAATTTTTACCCTCATTGTCATTTTTATCAAATTGTTGCCAGTAAGGTTTCCTAAATCTAAAATCCAGTTGAGAAAAATCACAGATGGTATATGTAAATTTAAAAGGAAGGCTTTATACAAGATTAAAGGTCTTCTTTTACAACTCCCTGGAAGATGGAGAGGTTTAAACAATGTACATTTCTGAATAATTACAGACAAATATGATTTTATGTAAAAAGTAGAACTTTGGCTTTGAGGTCTGTGTTTGAGGTAGAAGGTTCAGACTGGCTCACTTAGTTAATAAGTTTACTTAGATGTATGAACATCCTACAGTAATGATCACTTAGCCTTTTACAACATCAGGACTATATAGTAGTTTAAGTGTTATAAGAGAATTTGCCTGGAAGTTATATAATGAGAAATAATACATATATATGTATATTTATTTTACTATTAAGTTAAAATGTTCTAGTTTCTATATAACTGTAAGAGAGGGAGGTAGTACAGACTGTTTCCACATGAGACACGATCTGTAGTCCTCCATTTAGTCCCTACCTGCCTCTCCAGCTGCATCTTCTGCTCTCAGGCCCAACCATCTCCAGCCACACCAACCACTCATGGTTCATGTCCTGGTGCACCGCGCGTTGTTCTCGTCTCCTGCCTGGTGCACGTGCTGTTAGCTCTCCCTAGATGGCCTCCTGTTCTCCTCTGCCTCATTATCTTTGACTTTGCTTCTTCACAAAACTTTCCTCCTGGAAAGCCCTCTCTGAGGTCTCAGTAGGTGCCCCTTTGCCCTCACAACGGTGCACACTGTGCATATCGTTGATCACAGCAGCTGGAGGTAGTATTATTTCCCCCTCTAGCCTAGGAGCTCCTCGGAGTGGGGACTGTGTCTGCCATCTCTGTAGATCCCTGATGTCCAGCTTACTGTCTGCCACTTTGTAGGTGCTAAATAAATGTTCTTTTGAAGGAATACTTGGATTTATTTGCTTCTTATCAATTAAAAATTAAAATTAGTGAACCTATTCAGTGGGGGAAACATGTTATACATCAGCAGCTTTTACCTTGTGAGGGCAAGGGAATGTGAAAGGTGATTGGGAGCCCCATTTCTGGAACTGTCAGAGCTGTTGGGAGCACAGTTGAGATGGTGGACTAGCTGTGGTCTGAAGAAGGAAGGAGCACAGGGTTGCAGGATCTCTCAGAGCTAATAGGGTAAGTTGCTATTTCAGGGCAGTACAGGCAGATAGTATATTATCTTACAATATCAATAATATTATATATTATTTGGCAGATACTATATAATACACTGCTATGAGAGTTGATATGCCCATTAGTAATGTTTTATGAGGAAGACATAATAAAGATATTGGAGCTTTTGTGATAATTATACTTTAAACTATACATCTGATCGAATTCCTTTTTCTTTAAGATACACTGATTATTTTTCTATGCTCTTATCTAAGTGTATTAGCAATAATTTTCCTCTAAATCATGAGTTCCTTCTCAACTATGAGTTATCTCACTTTTTCGGAGGGTTGGATAATTCTATTTTGAGTGTTCTTACCAGAATTTTGAATATAGCAAAGTAATTTTTGTTAGCTATATCCTAGAATGGGCCCGAAAGAGGGAAAGGTAACTTTCTGTTAGTCACGTTTTAGCCAGATTTGACATTCAGTTTAACAGTGTATTTTCAGAAAATTTTAGTGCATTAAACATAGAGATACATATCTGAAACAATATAGAGAGAATATGTTGGTACTGTTTTTTTCTCCCGTCTCACCTCAAAATTTTCTGTTTTCTTAGTGGTGGCCATTACAATTATTCAGCCAACAACTGTTGGTTGAGGATTATTAAAAGAATAGGAAATAGTACTTGTAAGTAAAGCAAATCTATGTTAACAGCAGTAGATTGGCACCAGGTACCAACGTCCTGTAATTTTTATGAACAAACTTCCTTCAATGTGCAGAACTATAAAAGGGTGTTTCTCTGCTTATCTGCAGAGAAGTTTTGTAAAGAAAATAGTTGCCTTCTCATGCAGAAATAAACAATCACATTTAAAACGTATCAGAATTGCATTGCAGTGCTAGTTGCTACTTACTCGAGACCCAATTTAACCTAAGCACATGGATCTCCGTTCCCATCCTAGCAGCTTTAATTACTGAAGGACCTTCTTATAAGATTCATTCATTTATTCATTCAACAAATAATTGTCTACCAAGCACCAGGCAATCAGTAGTTTATTTGTTCATCCTTTCAGTGAAAGCATTTGTTGAGCATCTACTCCTTGCAGTGCACTGCACTTAGGATATAGGAGGAGAAGAAACAATCCCTGCTCTCTAGGAGGTCATAGTCTAGTGGAAGAAATAAATAAGCAGATACTTGTAACAAGAGACATCTCATTGAAACAAGTTGTAGTGGAATTGGCATTGTGTTGAGTCTTAAAGGAATAAGGCAGATTTTACCAGGTAAAAGGCAAGGATAGCTTAAAGAGTTCCATTCACGGAGAATATTATGTGCGAAGGCACGGACAAATGAGAACATGACACATGCAGGAACTAGAATTAGCTTTGACATAGCTGAATATAGAGTGTGAGGAAGCAAGTGGTGAAAAGTGGGGACAAATAAGGGCCTTATTTGACCTACCACGGAGTTTGGTGACAGATTGGAGGGCAGTGGGGAGCAACTGAAAGACTGAAGCTGGAGTGTGATAGTTGGAATAGACCACAGCAGAGAATCACCCTGACAGCATTGTGGGGAGTGGGTCAGAGGGAAGGGAGGCTGAAAGCACAGTTAGAATGCAGTGTAGTCCTCCAGGGGAAGCGTGAAGTTGGTTGGAACAGGATAATGGAACTAGGCGGAAGGGAACTGGCTGCAGAGAATTAAAGACTTGGTGACCAAATGGGCCTGGGGGCTGCGGGGGGTAGTGCGTAAGCACGATCTCTAAGAAGATCTGCATTACGTAACACCACCTGCATTCTCCTTATAAATAACTACCCTAGTGAACTCATTTTATAATTTGGAAATTTAAGGAATAAGCAATTTTACATCTGCAGAATTCTGCAAGTTTAAATCTTTAGGTGACATTAAAAAACATTATTAACCAATTTCATAAAATTCAAGCATGTTCTAAGATATCTTTAATCTTTCCCTATAATGCATGCTCTGACCTCTGAATTTGTTTCTGTCAACTACTTACATTCTAAGTTACCCACACTCTCAGTCCTTAAGCTCACGTTTCATCACTACCTGGTAGATTGTATTTATTCCAGTTGTTGTCTTATCTGTGCTGATATATACTGACTATACCAACAGAGTAGCCTGTTGTTGACCAGTATTATCAGTTTTTCATTAAAGTCCAGCTAACTATTCATGCAACCGTTATTTATAATTGGAAAAACAAAGCAAAAGGAAGATGACCATTTCTCTATTATTAATGTTTAGGTTAAGTGAGTTATTGTACTCCTTCTCCAATTATTAAGGCTACTAAAGGGTGATGCAAGTGAAGATATGGAATCAGTGAAATGTAATGGAATTGTACCTACATTTATGATTTTTTTAAGTTTTTTTTAATAACAAGACTACAAGAAAAAAAACACTGGTTGTGTTAGGATGTTAAATTTAAGAAGTTTTTTTAAGCTTTTCTATTTGTCCGACTTTTTGTAATGTAGTTATAATGCTCTCATAATATAAGAGTAATTATTTAAAATTGCAATACAATTTTGTAGCATTGCTACTGTTTGGGAGTAGGGGTGTGAAACAATTTGTGTGGAAACATTGTATTGTTTGAAGTCAGTTGAGACTATATTTCTCCAAAAATATAAGTTTTCATAATCTCCAATCCATAATCCATTTAAATTCTTTAAGAATTTTTCCAAATAAAGATGATTTTGTCCACTTTTAAGATTCTGAAATTCTTGGATACAATTTGCCTTTCAAACCATCTTAAGACTTTTAATAGATTCTTTAGGCATTTTTAAAAATTATAATAAGGTGCCAACTCAAGCCAGATAATTGAATGCTTTATGCCCCATTCTGCCAAATTGTGGGTTACACATTCTCTTATCCAGAAAAATTGCCAATTACTCTCGTTCTTTCTTGTGTGTGGTGAGCCGCCTTCTCTGGTTCCCTGTTCCCATAACGGAAGTGCAGCACTACATTTTAGGGCTTACCTCGTTTAAGCCTTCCTTTGGTTTTGTGAGAAAGGAGGTGTTATTCCCTTTCACAGATAACACAAAATTTTTGTTTTAATCAATATGCTGACCCTTTTTCTGGTTGTTTTCCAGGTGATGTTAGGCAGGAGCTATTGGAGAGTCTAGGTATCGCATCCTGGAGGGGAGCATCCATGTTTGACTCATGCCTTTTCCCTTGCATGTAATAGGCAGGCCCACCTGCTAGTCTTTTACCAATTTTTTATTTAGCTTCTTTTGAATTATCTTCTCATTTTGAAAGTTTGTTCCCTGCCTTTTCCTCATTTTGTGTGTTTTTTGGTTTCTTTTAAGAAAGCCCTTCAGACTTCCATTTTGAGGTTATAACTATAACCTCATGGCCACAACAGGTGCGATATCCTAGCCTTAGGATTTTTCAGTTAATGCTTAATTTTTAACTGCAGTGATAAACTTAAAGGATAAATATGGGAAGAATAAAGAACATAGATTTTTCTGTGTTATTCAAAGCAAGTAAAAATTATAACTGCATTTAGCAAAATCTGTTTTAAATGTTTATGGCAGAGTAGCAGACAAACTGATTTTTCTGCATTTGGCCAGCGTAGGATAGTGAGCGGTCAGACTGGTTCTCCTGCAATGAGCAGGAGCATAGAACCACCTGAACAACTTTTCCAGGCCATCTCTTTTTGTTTCCACTTGCTCCTTTAGTGCGTGGACCTGAGCTGTAATGAGCTAAGTGAAGTCACTTTACCAGAAAACCTGCCTACAAAACTGCAAGAACTTGACCTCACTGGAAACCCCCGACTCGCCCTCGATCACAAAACCCTGGAACTGCTGAAGTAAGTATTTTTTGAAGCACTGCCACCCCATCACTGTTCACTGACAATGGAATTTGTAACTTAGTAAAAACATTACACAGAATACAAAGCATCTGTTGACTTATTAGCTGTATCTACACACATTTGAAGTGACTAATTTGTGGGCCTGTTCAGTTCACCACAGTGGAGGGCCAGAAAAATTTACTAGTTGGATACTCATGTGTCCTTTCAGAAAGTTTTTGAGAAAATATCCAGACAAAAAGAGAATGAGAATAATTAATACAAAGAGGAAAATGGGATATCAAGTTGTAGGAAAGAGCATTGAACAACCAAGACATAACAAAGTCTCATTACTGATAATACACAGTGTGATGCTTAATACAGATATGTGAAAGGATTTCCAAAGAGATGCATAATGTGGGGAAAATTAGCAATTTGGAACTAAAATCCAGATTGTTTAACAAAACTGGGAGTGTGGGATAGTTAGATCCTGCTAAGTCCTCTTCCTGTTTTGGGAAGGAGTTCATTGATGTTGTCTCATTCTTGATGTTGATGGAGAATTACAAGTTGAAGTTCACTATGTTAAACATTAAAGGTAACTTCATTAGAAAAGACGTCTTATGAGAATGTTCATCACAGAACTCTAAATGTCTATCAATAGAGCTAAAGAAATTGTGCTCCACAGTACAACTGAATATTATATAGACATTAAAAACAATGATGTAGAGTTGTATTACTAACTCAAAAGATCCCTACGTATGATGTTAAGTGAAAAGAAAGTTTAAAAGGAAATTAGTAGAGTATAATCCCACTTTTTGCAAAATAAATTTGTCTGCCTTGTGTAGGTGTGTATGTGTGTGTGCACATGCACACCTAGAAAATGCCTGAAAGGATATAAAACAAAATGTTAAAATAGTGTTATTCTCTGGATAGTAGGATTATGGATGGGGTTTATTTTCTTCTTTAAACTTTTCTGAATTTTCAGAATTTTTTGCATTGTATCTCAAAGTACCAGTCTTGGACATTGACACACATTCGTCATTGTGTATGCCATCTGTGCTTAAACCCTGTTGTTAATATCTGTTGCTGAAAGTCACCTTCCATTATCTTAGGAAAAACTGAAAAGCAGTAGAATTTTGAAAAGAAGAGTATATTAGTGGTTCATTAACACTAACCTAGGCTTTATTGCAAACCAAAATTTGAAAATCACTTAAGGTGATTCCTGGATGGAATTGGCCTGATTAGTGCCTGTTTATTGACATTTTAAGCACTTAATGGAAACATTGATTTTGATATATAATTGAAGAATACAGCCTAGTAGAGTGTCCTAGGAAGCCAGAGGGGGACCTAGGCTCTCGCCCCTGTTTATCAGCATGTGAAGCCTTGGCCCAATCCCTCAGTCTGTCCAGACCTCAGTTTTCTCCTCTGTAGATGAGGAGGGTGGCCCACGTACAATCTAAGGGACTTTTCAGAACTAAGGTACATGGATTTTCAAAGTGTATTTCATCTTTATATGGGTAACTTTTGAGTATTTTTATTAATATGATATGAAATTTTGTGTTACAAATAATTATATCAAAACTTGTTAATAAATGAAAGTAGCTGTTTGGAAAAAAATGAAAGTTGAATTCTTATCACACACCAAAATGAATTCCAGCTAAATTAGAGAGTTAAATCTATAAAATGAAATCATTTTTAAAAGTAAGAAGAAATCATATGAATATATTTACAAGCCAGAAAAGGACTTTTTAGGTCAAAAAAGGGGGGAAGAAATCACAAGAAGAGAAATCAATATATATAGATTGGTTTTGATATTTGTTATGTATATATAAAAATACTTTTTATACATAAAAGTTTTAAATGTCTACTCTAAAAGCTATCCAGAGTACATCTAAAAGGCAAATGACTAAGAAGAAACATTGGCAAAAAATGTGAAAAATAAAAGCATTAATATTCTTAATAGAAAATGTTCTTATAAGGTCAGTAAGAAAAGAATTCACTCAAACAGAAAATAAGCAAAGGACATTAACATTTAACAAAAGAAGTACAGATAGTTACCTGAAAAGATCATGTTCAACCAAGTATATCAAGGAAATGTTAAATAAAATATTTAAATGAAAACATTTTTCTTCCTCAAATTGGTGCTGCTGGAGAACTGTAAACTGATACAACTTTTCTTAAAAGCTATTGGCCCTGTGTATCAAGCTTTTAAAAATATTCACATACTGGGCCAGCCCCGGTGGCTTAGTGGTTAAGCTCGGCGCGCTCCATTTCAGCAGCCCGGGTTCAGTTCCCAGGCGCCGACCTACACCACTCATCTGTCAGTGGCCCTGCTGTAGTGGCAGCTCACACACACAAGGAAAAAAATAAAAGAAAGAAAAAGAGGGAGATTGGCAAATGGATGTTAGCTCAGGAGAATCTTCCTCAGCAAAGGAAAAAAACAAAAACAAGTATTCACATACTTAGACCAAGGTTTTCTATGGCAAAAATTTATTCCAAAAAATAATCAGAAATGTGGTGTTCATTTTAGGCACAGAGATAGTCATCAAGATATTTCTAATTCTATTTAGGATGAATATAAAATGATATGGGAAAATGTTCATGATGTAATTAGAAAAGAGATGCAAAACCATATATGTAGAGTGACCCTACTATTTTATATGCATGAGAGAACATCTATTTGTTAATTCTCTACAGTGAGCATGTGTTGCTGGAGGAGCCTGACCTACTGCAGTGAAGCATGTATGTGCTCTCAGATTGGAAAAAGAATTAGTAACAGACAATGAAATCATAAATCTCTTATGTAAAAATGTTACCTTCCGTTTAGCATCTCGAAGGGTGTGGCTTCTTAGTAACTGGGAAGAGTTTCCATATCTCATGTGTTACTTGAGCTTTTAGAGGGTTGGCCTCTTTGTTCTACATGAGCCGGGATAGGTGCGTGTGGTGACTCTTCCATGTGACTGAGCTCCAGCTCTCAGCCTCTCTCAGACTCATTTAAAGCTGTAGCAGAGTCGACATTCAGGTCACTTCAGACAGCGGCTCAGCCACACTGCCTTCAGCGCGGCAGAGAATGAGAAATTGCTGCTTCACAGGAAGGATTATGGGGGAGTTTAAGGATGATTTTTTTCTGTAATAATCAGGCTAGGAAGTGGAATTACTTTTTTGAAAGCTTTGTGTTCTGTAGAAATCATGAATGTCTTTAGAAATGAGCCTTCAGTTTTTCTCTAGAATTCAGAAAGCAGCAAAGATGTAGTCAGAGCCTTAAAGTGTGCCTAAAGAAACCCACTGCATTGCTTCCCATTGTACATGGATAAAATTTGGTACCAGGTCATATGGAAAGCAAATAATGGTTGACTTTCTTTTTTAATGCCCCTCTTTTATTGATAGGATTGAAAACTTTGGAAAGAGGATATATAGCCCTACTGTAAAATGAGGTATTAATTTGATTTCAGGGTTTTCTGTTGGCACCGTCTATGATTTTTATCTTTTTCCACTTTTTAGGATAAAGGAAAAAGTGAATGTTTGCTGGTAACTAAGAGTAAAAACTGTCATTTAACGAAATAGTTTTAAATTTCAAAGAAATTGCCACCAGCTATTTCTAGAATCAAAATGAATACTATTGGGTTTTGATTTACTTCTTAGAGTTGAAGGATTCTTAAGAAGGGTATTCAGTATTTGTTATATTTTAGAGTTAATGAATGCCAACAGATAATTTAAATTCTTGGGGTCATGACAATAGTGTTTAGGTGTTTTTTTTAAGTTAAGAGATTATACATATGCTTTTTCTCTTGTTTAAGTAATAGGGGAAAAAACTAGCGGCAGTTTACAAGTAAGCAGGATTTATTTCACCATGTGGTAGCCAGCCTTTTTAAAAACCTGATTCACATCTGTATGACTTCCTGTTTGGGGACATTGAATGCTTTCTAGTAGGCTGGTTTCTAATAAACCCCATTTCAAAGTTTATTGTTTTAGTATTTCTGTTTTGGGTCCTGTTGAACCAGTCATGGCGTATGGGGGCTGAGGCGAGATAAGAACTTGTCTCCCAGTTTAAATATATGTAGTAAATGTGCAATTTATTGAAATGCCCCTCATTTACTTTGTAATTTTATAATGTTAGTCTTAGCATGGATGGTTGTGTGAGGAAGGAATTGGAAGCTTCAGGATGGCAAGTCCTCAATAATATCTGTGAAATATTTGAAGAGATGATGTTGGCAGAGATTGGATTTGAGGATGAATGTTGCAGAATTCTCTCACATCTTCGAAGCCATAATATAATTGTGGCTTAGAGTTTTCAAATCTGGGTGTTCATGTTGTAAGAACACACCCAACTTAATAGTGAAATTTTCTTTTCTCATGCCAAGCTTGAGAGCTGACCTTTTCATTCCCAGGAGAGAGCAGCCATCTAATGCAATGTGTGTGAAAGTCTCTAATAACCGCCATATGATGCTGATAAAAACTAATTTTCGTGCTCTGTATATATGCCCTTTTGTTTTCATTATGATGAGTAGCTAGTTCTTGTTGCTAATAAATATTTCAGACACATTAAACACAGTAAGAAATGGTAAGTATAAAGTGCTTAGCAGATGTTTTTCATTTCTCAGATAAAAGTAGCAATTTGCACGTGTTTGGTTTTAATGATTCCTGCCCCCTCCATTTCTCTGGTTAGTAATATCCGCTGTTTCAAGATTGATCAGCCTTCGGCAGGAGATGCATCTGGAGCCCCAGCTGTATGGAGCCATGGCTACACCGAAGCTTCAGGGGTGAAAAACAAGTAAGTGGGTGAAACTTGGGAGTGAGAACCACCTCCGGCCTGCCTCCCTTCTGTAGTCGGGCAGAAAGAAGCCCAGTGCTGGCACACACTTGCCTCCTGTAGCATTTGTTTGAGCATGTTTCCCCAAAGTGAGGCCACCTCATGACTTACATTTGGACATTAGGCTAAGCCCTGCTTGGCATCACATACTCTCTCTTTGTGAGAGATGTTGCTAGGATACAGTGTAACTGACACATTATGTCTATGTGAGACTCCAGTGTTTGGAGAAGGCCTAAGGATTGAAATGCATCCCTGCTTTTTGAAAAGCCTCTTTATCTTTCTCTGAAGCCTGTTTACCAAGCAAAACAGGGGTAGTATTAAGGGAGAAGTAGCCTTGATTGTCCAGATTCAAGATCACTTACGTTATGGACCAGTCAGTGGTTCTGTGGAACTATTTCTTACAATCCAAATCAGCTTCACAGGAGTTTGATGTCCATTCCCTGTAATGTCAACTGCTTTTCTTGCCACCAGGGCTGTCCATCTTAATTTCTTTTTCTTCTCTGTTTTCACCAACCTTCCCTGTTTTAGAGGCAAATGTTAGTTTTCCTGAGATTTGTAATCAAGCTCTTAAGGCTTGCTTGCTTTTTATGAAGAGGTGCTAATAATTAGTACTAGAAAAGTAAAGAACCCTATAAATTAGAATAGTCATAATTTAATTAGCTAAGGTTTAGGAACACAAACACTGAGAGTAAGGGAAGAACAGAAAGTGGAGGATGATCCAGTAATAGCTAACATTAGTATTCAACCCTGGGTGCACATCAGAATCAGTCAGGCGAGGAACTTTAGAAAAAATTCTCCAACCTAGGCCCATTAAATCAGAATGTTTTAAAATCGCCCCCAGGTGATTCTAATGTGCACCCAGGATTAAGAACCACTGACTGACTAGCTGAATACCCTCTATGGAAAATGAAAGGTGGAATTCTGGTTGCCACGCTGACTGCTTTTCTTTGGGACAGAAAACAGTCAACTCAAGTTCTGCATCTGACACACTGATCCTTTCCTCTTGCCATAAGAGTGTGATTTGGCGTTGTGCTGTCCAGACAAGAGGCAGCCCCCTTTTCAACACCTCTGTTCCATTTGCCCAAAAAAGGCAGAAGAGCCAATTGTGCCTGGGCTCTGGTTGTTGCGTTATTTCTGTGTACTTTGCACTGTGTATCATTGTATTTGGGGGAGAGGAAGAAATTATACATCCTTTGGAGCACTCAAAGTTCCTTCCTAGAGATCTTTCTTTTTAGATTAAAAGACCTTACGTCTTACCGAAAAACACCCGGATGTAAAACTGCTTTCTTTCTTTCTTTCTTTTTTTTTTTTTTTTTTTTGCTGAGGAAGACTGGCCCTGGGTAATATCCGTGCCCATCTTCCTCCACTTTATATGGGATGCCGCCACAGCATGGCTTGCCAAGCGGTGTGTCGGTGCGTGCCCAGGATCCGAACCGGCGAACCCTGGGCCGCCGCATCAGAGCACGAACACTTAACCGCTTGCGCAACCGGGCCGGCCCCGAAACTGCTTTCTAATTCAAGAACACTGGTGTGAAATCCAAGATTGGTTTTTAAACATCTCTGAATATTAAAATTTATTATCTACTCATATATATTAATAAAGCAGTGACCAATTAGATCTGTTTTTTCCTGTATAATTCCCCCTTGTACAATTACTTTCTTAAAATTTTTGTTATATTGAAGTATAACATAGGTACAGAAAAGTACTTTGACGAGCATACAACTCTGTGACTTGTCCTAAAGTGAGCACACCTGCACACCAGCACCTGGCCCACACCTCAGGAGTCCCACGCCACCCCGGCCCCTTGCTTTTTCACCGTTTGGTTTTGACAGCAGAAGTTTCTCAAGTGTTTTCTTTTTGAATTGTAGATAAAGTAGTTACGTAAACAAGAGCTTTCTGCTTGCTGTCTTGAAGGAAGGAGAGAACTGTGGTTGTCCCCACCTCCAAATCTCCGTAGGTGTCTGTTCTCTTCTCTCCTCCCCTCTTTCCCCAGGGGTGCTGTGGTGTCTCCCTATCAGGTCATTTCAGATCCTTTGGGGAAACCTGAGGAGGGAGCTACAGTTGGATAATTTAGGTTCTTCCTCAGACTGAAAAACAAACAGGAAGCTTCAGCAGAAAAGAATCACTATTATACTTTTTTTAAAAAACATGCTTTTTTTTACACACACCCCTATTCTGACTAGCAAGGGGAGCTTACAGAATTATAAGATGATTTAATATTATATTATTAAATTTTACTTTGCCACTAATTGCCATATAACTTGGGGTGACTTATTTTTCTTAATAAATGGAGGCAGGAATTTCAAAGTACTGAGATGAGAGCCAGACTGACTGGCTTTGCATCTGGGCTCTATATTTATTTGCTGTGTGACCTTGAGCAGTTACTCAACCTCCCTTTGGCTTAATTTCCTCTTCTGTAAAATGACACTAAAAATACTCCCTGTCCTCATAGGGTTATAAGGATCCCCTGAGTTACATATGTGAAGTGGTTAGAACAATGTGTGCTATATAGTAACTCTTTTTAAGTGTTAGCTACTATTATTAATGATAATGGTTATTACTATTATTATTTGTCCTCAGACTCCTTAAGGGCAGAGACTGTATTTTCAGGTTCATATCTCTGTTATCTACCTATGATACATATCAGGTGCTTAATTTTTTTTCTTTTGATTAATTTATATACAATATATTAATATATGTTAATTTATATATATAGTAAGAAGGAATATTTTATATTCAGTAAAATTCACCCTTTTTAGTGTACAGCTCTGCAAGTTTTGATGAAAGATTATCATTGTGTAACTACCACCACAATCAAGTTATAGAGCAGTTCCATCACCCCTCAAAATTCCATCATGGCCCTCTGTTGTCAGTTTCTCTCCCCACCCCCAGCCCCTGACAACTCCTGATCTGCTTTTTTTTTCCATTAGTTTTGCCTTTTCTAGAATGTCATATAAATGGAATTACACAGTGTATAGCCTTCTCAGTCCGGCTTCTCTCACTTAGCATAGTGCATTTGAGATTCATTTGTGATGTTGCATGTGTTAGTAGTTTGTTCCTTTTTTATTGCTGAATATTATTCTATCGCATGAATATATTATGGTTTGTTTATCCATTCACTATTTGAAGGATAAATTATTTAGATTGTTTGAAGTTTTTAGCAAATATGAATAAAAATGCTATAAACAGTTGCATACAGGTTTTGTATGAACATGTTTCATTTCTCTTGGGTAAATACCTACGAGTAGGATTGCTGAGTCATGTGATAAGTATATATTTAATTTTATAAGACTGCCAAACTGTTTCCTAATGTGGCTGTACCATTTTGCATTCCCAGCAGCAATGTATGAGAATTCTAGTTGCTGCATATCCTCACCAGTACTTGTTATCATCAGGTTGTGGTGGTGGTGGTTGTTTTGGCCATTCTAATAGTGATATCTCATTGTGGTTTTAATGTGCATTTCCCTAATGATTAATGATTGTTGATCATCCTTTCACATGCTTATTTATCATTGCTCCATATATCTTCTGGTGAGAATGTATTCTTTCACAGCTAAGTATGACGTTAGCTGAAGGTATTTTTGTAGACAACCATTATCAAATTTAGAAAATTCTCTTTAATTCCTAGTTTTCTGAGAGTTTTTATAGTGGATGTCAAATTTTGTCATAGGCTTTTTCTGCATCAGTTGAGATGATCATATTTTTCTCTTCTTTAGTCTGTTGATGTGGTGAATTACATTGATTTTAAAATGTTGAATCAGCTTTGCATTTCCAGAATAAATTCCACTTGATGGTCATGATGTGTTATCCTTTTTATATGCTGCTGGATTCAATTTGCTGGTAATTTCTTGAGGATGTCTATATTCCTGATGGATTTTAGCCTGTAGTTTTCTTTTCTTATGATGTCTTTGCCTGGTTTTGGTATCAGGGTAATGCATCCTCCTAGAATGAGTTGAGGAGTGTTTCCTCTTCATCAGTTTTCTGGAAGAGTTGGTACAGAATTGATATTATTTCTTCCTTAAATGGTTGGTAGAATTTACCAAGAAAACCATCTGGGCCTGGAATGTTCTTTTGTTTTTAACTAAACATACAGTTTCTTTAATAGAGGATTATCGCTTTCTTCCTGAATGAACTTTGGTAACTTGTGTCTTTCAAGGAATTTATATTCATTTCATCTGGTTTTCAAATTTATTGGCATAAACTTGTTCATAATATTCATTATTATCCTTTTAATATCTGTAGGATCTATAGTGATGTCTCTCCCATCTCTCATTCCTAACATTGGTAATTTGTGTCTTGTCTTTTTACCCTGATCAGTTTGGTTTGAGATTTATCAATTTTACTGATATTCTCAAAAAACCAGTTTCTGGTCTCATTGATTATTCTATGTTGTTCTTCTGTTTTCTAAGAATTTCAGTGACTTCTGCTCTTATTTTTATTATTTCCTTTCTACTTGCTTTGGGTTTGTTTTGCTCTTACTTTTCTAGTTTCTTAAAGTGGAAGCTTAGGTCATTGATTTGAGCTTAGGACATTAATTTTCTAAGCATTTAGACCTGTAAATTTCCTTCTAAGCAATTTCTTCAATAAGGTTGGAGAACATACTTTGAATGACTTGAATCTTGAAACTTATTGAGACGTTTTTTTAGCCCAGAATATGATCTGTCTTGGTAAGTATTCTGTGTGCTTTTGAAAAAGAAAAATGTATTCTGCTGTTGGGGTAGAGTGTCAGATCAAGTTGGTTGATGATGTTGTTCAAGTCTTAAATATCCTTGCTGATTTTCTGTCTACTTGTTCTGTCGATGATTGAGAGACTACAGTTACATGTTTGTCTGTTTTTCCTTATTAATTCTATCAGTTTTTGTTTCGTATATTTCTAAGCTCTGTTATTAAGTACATAAACATTTAGAATGTTATAGCTTTGTGATTAACTGACCCCTTTATCATTATGAAATGACTCTATTTCTGTAATATTCTTTGTTCTGAAATATGCTTTGTCTGATATTAGTATAGCTACTCTAGCTTTCTTTTGATTAGTATGTTAGCATGGGATATCATTTTTTTATCCTTTTACTTTTAACCTATTTGTCTCTTTATATTTAAAGTGGATTTCTTATAGACAGCATGTAGTTAGGTCTTGCTTTTTTATCCAATCTGACTTTCTGTCTTTTTGGGAGGTGTTTAGACCATTTTTATTTTTAATGGGATTATTGATATGATTAAGTTTAAATCAGCCAACTTACTATTTGTTTTCTATTTGTCTGATCTGTTCTTGATTCCCTTTTTTCTCATTTTCTTCGTTCTTTTGGGTTGAGCATTTCTTATGATTCCATTTTATCTCCTTTATTTGTTCTTATTAGTTCTACCTTTTGTGTGTGTGTGGTTTCTTCAGGGTTTGTAGTATAACCTGTAACTTATTAATTAGTTTAACTTTAAGTAATATTATATCTTCCATTTCCCCTCTCCTGGTTTTCATGTTATTGTTGTCGTATGTTTTACTTCTACGTTTATTATAAACCCCAAAATACCTTGTTATAATTTTCACTTTAAATAGTCAGTTATTTTCTAAAGCAGTGTTTCTCAACTTCAGTACTATTGACATTTTGAGCCAGATAATTCTTTGTTGTTGGGGGACAGGGGAGGGAGGGGGTGTCCTGTGCATTGTAGGATGTTTAGCAGCATCCCTCTACCTACTAGAAGCAATAGCAGCATGACCAGTCGTGACAATCAAAAATGTCTCCTGCCGGTAGAATTGCCCCAGTGAGAACCACTGTTGTAAAGTGATTTTAAGAATAAGAAAAAAAAAATTTGTATTTAATCGCCTATTTATCATTTCTGGTACATTTCATTCTTTTATGTAGATCCAGATTTCCATCTGATAGCATTTTCTTCTGCCTCACATATTTCCTTTTACATTTCTTATAGAGCCAGTGTTTTGGTGGTAAGTTCTTTTATTTTGTGCATCTGAAAATGTCTTTATTTCACATTAACTTTTGAAAGCTATTTTCACTGGTTGAGAAATCCAGGTTGACAGCTTTGCTATCAGTACTTTAAAAATCTTGCTCCACTGTCTTCTGCATTTTCTAATGGGAAGTCGGCTGTCATTCCTGTCTTTGTTCCTCTACTCTCTCCCCTGCCTTTGTTCCTGGTTTTCAGGATTTGATTTTGATGTGCCTCAGTTGATTTTTTTCATTTTCTTTTGCTTACTGTTTGTTGAGCTTGTTGTATCTGTAGGTTTATAGATCTCATCAGATCTGAAATACTTTCAACCATTAATTCTTCACAAGTTTTTTCTGTCTCTCCTCGTTTGAAGACTCCAATTCCCTGTATATTAGGCTGCTTGAAGTTATCCCACCACTCACTAACGCCCTGGCTTTTTATTTTTCCCAGAGTCTTTTTTTCTCTGTGTTTCATTTTGGATAGTTTCTGGGACACAGTTAAGTTCCTTGGAAACAGTTTGATTCTTTTTGAGGCTTGGAGTGGAGAGACTCTGCAGGCCTCCGGAGCACTCGCCTCTCCATGCTGCCTTCCTCCCTCCAGTCCTCTGCCTGTGAACTCTTCTGACCCATCCTCCCTCCACTTAGGGAGAGCGCCAGGCTCCACCTGGGTTTCTCCTCCCTGTGCTGCAGCCCAGAAATTTTTTCCAGGCAGTGTGCTGGGCAGACATCAGTCTCGCTCTCTGACCTGCACTTCTTATTGTCCAATGTCTGAATACTGTTGTTTCTTTTTTTTTTTTTTTTTTTGCCTTTTCTAAAGTTGTTTGAGACTTTTCATATGTTTTTTGTATACTTTTCATATGTTTTTCCAGTGTTTTAGTTGTTACTCCATTTTTGCCCGATGTGGAAGTTCTTAATAAATGTTTTGTGAATGAATGTGGACGTACGGATTCATAATCTTGTATTATTTCCCATGCCTCTTATGCTCTTTCTTTCACTGCCATTTGAAAATAAAATCATCAGAAGATAAGGGGGTCGGGGGAGCCATGTGTGAAGCGTAAATATATGTTAATCATTCTTCTTTGCTTACAGAAATTAGTTGATATAAATGAGCTGGAGTTAGTCTATTCTTAATCTGTCTGAAGTCTTGAAGAAAGAGACAAGACTGGAACAGGCGAATCTGAAAAAAAGTAGCTTTGGGTGGGCCTGGAGAAGGAGAGATGAGTAGACTTCGCACAAAAGCATTCTTGCTTTGCAGGTTGTGTGTTGCAGCCCTGTCGGTGAATAACTTCTGTGACAACCGGGAGGCCCTGTATGGTGTATTTGATGGAGACCGGAACGTGGAGGTACCCTACCTTCTCCAATGTACTATGAGTGACATTTTGGCAGAAGAGCTGCAGAAAACAAAAAATGAAGAAGAATACATGGTCAATACGTTCATTGTTATGCAAAGGTAAAACTGAGAGTCCCTGCCGTGTGTTTTCTTGCTCTTGTTTGAGTGTTTGCCCTCTGATTAGAAAGATAGGTGCCCAGCAATCTCAAAGCACTAGTGTTGAATATGGGTATTCAAGATGCAGTCAGGCAGTTTGGTTTTGCTCAAGCATCAGGGTGGACTGTGTTACATTTGAGACGTACTGGTGTCCAGACCACTTGGTAGGAGGTCAAGTCAATGACGGGAATTTAGTTTCTCTTGGAACTGGACCTCACAGGCCTATCGTGATTCCAGGTTTTCACCAGGTTGTTTACAACATACTTCACCCTCCCCCCAAAATCACATGAGCTCCAGAGGCTCTTGAGACCTTCTGGTGTGTGGACGTCTCCTTGAAATGGACTATTTCTGTCTCAGTTTGTTCACCCTTGTGAAATACTGTCACTGGTTTGAGATGGTGCAAACCTTTGTGAACTTGAGATGGTCAAATTTTAGGCCAGGAGTTAAATCATTCTTCATATGTTGTTTTTCTCTCTTGTTAAATGTTCAGGACAGTGTTTCTAACAGAATCGTAGGCCATTGCCTAGAGTTTTTGGTTACCATAGAAATTGTGGAATGTTGTTTGTAACTCTTAGGGCTGGATGTTATAAGCCTTCCCTCCTTCAAAGAATTGCTCGTTCTTTTGTCACTCTAATGGCTTTGTAGGTTGCAAAGGAATTGCCTGTCTATTAATATTGTACTGCAAACGCTTGCTCATGTGGGACAAGGAAGTGGAGAGTGCTCTAAAGGTCATGGGAACAATGATGATCTTTTCTCTTTCTCTCCTTTATCTCTCTCTTGATAATCTGCCAGAAAAAGTATCTTTGTAACAGGGGTAGAAAAAGTATCTGCTAAGGAATGCTGGTTCAGAGAAGCCTTTAAAGTTACCCTAAGTCATGGGTATAGTCAAGAAGAAGAGTTCCTCTTGAAGAGCTCAGTAGAGGCAGGCCCAGTAAAGTTTTTTGGTGCTGGACTCACCTCTGTCTTTCAGATTCTCAGTGGGCGTGTACAATTAGCAATTGAATACTGATAATAGCTAATATTTAGTGAGCTCTTAATATGTACCAGTCGTTGTTCTAAATGCCTAAATACTATAAATTTTACCCCATGAGATAGATAATATTACTATTCTTGAATAATTTTACTGATGAGTAACTGACGTACAGAGAGGTGAAGCAAATTGCTCCAAGAGCTAATAGATGGTGCAGCCAGAATTTGACCTCAGGCGGTAAGACTCCAGAGAATGTTCCACCTGCCAGGCACATCTATACCCTTTTCTTTTTTACCACCATCTTGTCCTAGAAAAAAAGCAAATATGTATCATACACACAGACACACACGTGCACACACCACACACACGCACACAACCCCATCACATACCCCCAAGAGGTCTACTTTTTGTAGACCCTCAAGTGCTGCAAAGAATTAAGAACTTAAGGACCTTAAACTCATCATGATTACTAGCTGTACTTTTCACAAATACCATCCTATTTCTGGCTTTGCTGAGAGGAATCATTGTGCCTTTGAAAGGAAGAAAGTAGTGCTGCCTTGGCAGCGCCTAAAGCCAAATCCAGTCATGGGTGTCCTGAAGTTGGAGTTTAGAGACCCAGATTTGTCGGCCCATCTCCAGGGTCATTTGTATGCCTCTTGTTTTCCGTATTTGTTAATAGGTTGTGGATGTGCGGTGATCTTTTCTGTCCTCAGGAGAACTGCATGTTCTTTGTACATGACATCCTAATGCATGCGAGTAGGCAGCCCTGGTTTCGGTTGCTATTACTGCCACTTCCCTAACCTAGACCGGTGAGAGGGGATGACAGCACCTGAGGGTCTGCCCCATAAACAGAGGAGCATGTCTGGCTTAACCTTCCTGCTCCTGTACCACTCGGGATCCGTGGGGGCCTGGGAGGCACTGCCGGCTGTGGGGCTTATGATAGGAGTTCGTGGCTCCTTTTGATTGTCAGAAGTTGCACATGCTTTGTGTATTCAGTAAGTCTCTGGATTAATGGTCATAAGTAAAAGCCCTTTGGAGCTTGATTACTAGAATGTCCTTTCTGTGAATATTCTAGAATAGACATTGCTGGTCCAGGAAGTCTTCACCACATAGGGCAAGAACATGAATGGTCCAGTACTTAAAAGCTCATGCCAGCAAACATCCTTATAAAGGGGGAGAGGGTGGTCAGGTAGTTTTAAAGTGTACATGTCAGTGGGTTTAGTGTGTTTACATCTGCTCCTGTTTAGGTGGCCCCTTCGATTTCCTCTCCCTGGAGCAGAGGGGATTTAGAGAGGTGGGTGGGGAAAGCGGTGGTGATTTTCCTGCCGTCTTTGGAGTGTGCTGATATGGGAGTAACAGGCTGGACACAGCAGGACAAGGGCTCTTTCATTCCATGTCAGCTGCTGGGGCTCTTAGTGGTAAAGTGACACTTCGCCCCAGTTGTGAGCAGACACCTCTCCGTGTGCGGGTGTGTGTGTCAGATTCCATGGGCTCTTTTTCTCTGAGAAGCTGAGCAGAGCCTGCTCTGGGGCAAGAGGCTGAATCGAACCCCTAGGTTCTGGTTTTCCTCCTGCCCTGTCCAGTGGCACAGTCTTCCTGTTGAATTAGCAAAAGTGCCTCATGACGGGTTGTGTTACCTTCTCTCTTCGGATTCCAGGAAACTCGGAACTGCTGGGCAGAAACTTGGAGGTGCTGCTGTCCTTTGTCATATCAAACATGACCCTGTGGACCCAGGAGGATCCTTCACCTTGACCTCTGCTAATGTGGGCAAGTGCCAAACAGTTCTCTGTCGGAATGGGAAGCCATTGCCTCTGTCCAGATCGTATGTCATGAGCTGTGAAGAAGAACTGAAGAGAATTAAACAGCACAAGGCCATTATCACTGAGGTGAGGAGAGAACAGGTTTCTTCAGGATACTGGGGAAGATGGGCCCAGGGTCCTGGCAGAAACCAGCCAGGATGCATTTCCCTTCAAAGAACGTTCTTTGAAGTTGGTTTAAAATTAAAATTCCAAATCCATGGTGTGACAAAGCAAATTCCTTGTATGATATGTCTGAAGACATTAGAATGTACAGAATAATAAGCCACTTATCGATGGCCTCTCTGTGTCAGGGGTATGCCAGGTGCTTCAGGGCATTGTCCCATCTGATCCTCACAGCCCCTCTGCCAAAGGGCTGGTTCAGTGGTTGAAGGCTCTACCCTGAAGTCACACTGCTGACACTCATATCCTAGCTCTGCCACCTGCAGGCTATTGACTTTAAACCTCTAAGCCTCAGTTTCCTCATCTGTAAAGTCAGAATAATAATGTATCGGTCCTGTCTTACAAGGCTAGTGTGATAATCAGTATAAATGTAACTAGTTGTTATTTTGGTTCATGCTTTGAGTTCCATTTGAGTAGGGCAGTGAGTGGTTTTCAACCAGGGGCGATTTGGCCCCCAACGGGACATTTGGCAAGGTCTGGAGACATTTTTGTTGTCACAGCTGGGTGGAGAGTGCTTTAGGCATGTAGTAGGTAGAGGTAGGGGTGCTGCCAAACATCTTATAATGTACAGGACAGCCCCCGCAACAAAGAATTATTTGGCCCAAAATGTCAGTAGTGGCACTGTTGAGAAACTCTGGAGTAGGTCTGCGTTATACCAAGATTTATTACAACACAACTTCCCAAATGGGCTCTAGGGGTTCTGCTCCACTGACTAATTCAGCCTCCAATGTTGATCACCTGCTGGGTGCCTGAAGAATGATGTGGGGACACAGAAGTGACTCCCACAGACACACAGCTGCCCACAGGAGGTGTCCAGTCTTGTATTGCTGATACAACCCTAAGAACCATGAGTAGCCCAGGTGGACAGTGGTGGAAGTTTGCAGACCAGTAGAGAAAAGACAGATTCAGATAGGCTTCGATAAATCAGATCCTCAAGAAAGATACAGGAAGACTCAGGATGCACTGTGAGGGTCTGTGGAAGTGAGTCTGTGTATCGATTTTAGCTCCCTGCCTGTTCTGGCAGCAGGGAGGATTAAAATGGGCAGTAGACACTGTGTTAGGGAGCAAAGACAGTCTAAGATGGGACAGAATGTATTGAATTAAATGTTCAATATTACACAATGCAGAGGTTAATGATTTCTGCTGCATGAATGGATCACAGTTTGTGCTTTAGACTTTTTCTCCTGTTTTCTCTACCTCCCCTCTTCCTTACTTTGTCTGCGTTGCTGAATACTCTGCCCCATTTGGATTTTTTACTTCTCGACCTGAGGCACACCCCCAAAACACACATATGCGTGCACACACGCACACACATACACACACCATTTTTTCTGATCAAGAGAGAACGAAAGGATTGGGCAGAACAACAAGGGTAATTATTGCCAAATTCCATACTTCGGGGAAGAACAAATTACATCAGTAGAATCGAGGCAGTTGAAAATTGTGCTTGAAGCCCTGTTTTAGTCATTTTCTAAGAATTTGACATTCTTCTAAGAATGCTGCCTGCTTGTAAGTATGGTGTGGCAGGATTGTATGTGGGATTGGGGAAGCCACTCCCAAATGAAGGCACGTGGTAGGGTTGTAAAGGAAATGGATATTCTCTGCAAGAAACACTTGCTTCAAGGGGGATGGTGAGACCATCTCCATTACCTCGTCCTAGACACACACTGAAAGTTACCTTTGTCATAACGGAGACTTCTCTGGAAAGGGTATTAAAAATAGGGGCATGTAGAGGCACATTATGGACCTGAGAACCTCAAACTCGAAGAATAGAGAACCGAGCAGGTACACGGGGTTGTCTCTCTTCCTCCCCTCTAGCTTCAGAGTAAAGGTCTTTTTACTGGCAAATGGTCTTAAATTTTGGCTCGTGATTTAAATGGCATGAACCCAGCTGAACTAAACCGGGAGACTGTATTCTCAATTTACCGCCAGGAAAGCAAGTTCAAGGAAAACATAGGACTTGACACTTCTTTAGCATCTACCTCTCCAAACACAGACATTCTTACCCTGCTAGGCACACCAAGATTTTCTCCATCATTTTTCTTCCAACCTTCTTAAGTTTAAAACAGTGTCTTGACCTTCTTGACCCGCTTCTTGACCTTCAGACACTCCTGCCATTTGTTGGAGAGTAACCTAAGACTTGGGGGCATTGTCTTGAACCGTCCCTGCCTCATGTGTCTGCTCAGGATGGCTCATTTCAGAAAGGCTCTTCCTTCCTGTGGGCTACAGGAGAAGCTCATTAGCCATGTTGCTGTGTCAGACTAGCTGATGATTTGCTTTAGAGATAGGCAGGTCTTGTTAACCAGTGTGCACATGGTCCCAATAAAGGGAACAGCTGAAATACTTTCCTGTTGTCCCTCCTGCTCCTGACCTGCCCAGCATACTGCCCCAGGTTTCTCCTGACAGATGATTAACCACTCACCAGAGGGTGAGCAGTCCTCCCTTTTATGGACCACACAGCGCTCTTCTTGGGGTCCCCAGGCAGGAGGCCCCTGGGAGGCTGCACAGTTGCGACATGCACTCTGTGTTAATGTCTGTTTGGAAACCCCTCTTCTTCCAGGACGGCAAGGTGAATGGGGTGACTGAGTCCACGCGCATCCTGGGCTACACCTTCCTCCACCCCAGCGTGGTGCCTCGCCCCCACGTACAGTCTGTGCCCCTGACCCCCCAGGATGAGTTCTTCATCCTGGGCAGTAAGGGCTTGTGGGACAGCCTGTCCATCGAGGAGGCTGTGGGGGCCGTGCGCAACGTGCCTGACGCCCTGGCTGCTGCCAAGAAGCTGTGCACCCTTGCCCAGAGCTACGGCTGCCATGACAGCATCAGCGCCGTGGTGGTGCAGCTCAGCGTCACTGAGGACAGCTTCTGCTGCTGCGAGCTCAGCGCGGGTGGGACCCTCCCGCCGCCCAGCCCGGGCATCTTCCCTCCCTCTGTCAGCATGGTCATCAAGGACCGGCCCTCCGACGGGCTGGCCGTGCCATCCTCCAGCAGCGGCATGGCCTCTGAGATCAGCAGTGAGCTCTCCACTTCCGAGATGAGCAGTGAGGTGGGGTCTACAGCCTCTGATGAGCCCCCATCTGGAGCCCTGAATGAGAACAGCCCCGCCTACCCCAGCGAGCAGCGCTGCATGCTCCACCCCGTCTGCCTGTCCAACTCCTTCCAGCGCCAGCTGTCCAGCGCCACTTTCTCTAGCGCCTTCTCCGACAATGGCCTTGACAGCGATGACGAAGAACCAATTGAGGGCGTCTTCACCAATGGCAGCCGGGTAGAGGTGGAAGTCGACATCCACTGCAGCCGGGCCAAGGAGAAGGAGAAACAGCAGCACCTGCTCCAGGTGCCAGCTGAGGCCAGCGACGAGGGGATTGTCATCAGCGCCAATGAGGATGAGCCCGGTCTGCCCAGGAAGGTGGACTTTGGTGCTGTGGGGACCATTGGGCGCCGGAGGGCTAACGGCTCGGTGGCGCCCCAGGAAAGGAGCCACAACGTGATAGAGGTAGCTACGGACGCGCCCCTCCGAAAGCCTGGAGGCTATTTTGCGGCTCCGGCTCAGCCAGACCCTGACGATCAGTTCATCATACCCCCAGAGCTGGAGGAGGAAGTCAAGGAGATCATGAAACACCACCAGCAGCAGCAGCAGCCGCCGCCCTCGCAGCTCCCCCTGCAGCAGCCGCAACGGCAGTGCCCGGCGGACCCGCTGCCAGACTACTGTGACACACCGCTATGACCCACCCGAGCGCTATTTAAGAAATAAACTAACCAAGAAAGACTAGTCGCGAGAGTCTCCCAGGCTCACATTAAACCAGGGGTTTACTCCACGCTCTTCTCCCAGACACTTTCCCGACTGTCTTTGCAGCTAGTCTGTAGGGTCTCCTCCTGTTGGTCATTTTTTTTAATAATTACCACTTTTCTTCTAGTGATGCTTTACCGATATGATTTAAATCTGTTAACTTCTTCCCCTAACATATCAGATGTATAAAGACAAAGAGCAAAAGGTTTAATATATTAAGAGAAACAGTTAATGATAATGTAATATTTTTTAAAATGGCTTTTTGTTGTTTTGTTTGTTTGGAAGGCAAGGCAGGTTGCCAGTGCTAAGTGATTTAATAATATTGTAATTCTGTATTTCTTTGGGGGAAAAGCTTTTTTTTTTGTCTTGAAAATGATAGACATTTGTAGAATATGGAGACTAACTCCTAGGAGTTGCTTTACTCTGTCAGGTGACTTAAGTCACTGGGATTCACTAATTTTCTCTGAGAGAACAGTTGATTGAGAAATTTCTATTGTAAATAGCTCCACGTTGTATAGTGATGCTTCAGATGTTTTGTAGTTTTGGCATAAGGACACAGCCTAACAACTGACTTTCCTCTCCCTCCCCCTCTGAGGAGCCTTCCCGCCCACACCTTCCTCATAACCCTCCGTTAGTTCATTAAATGAGGAGGCTGAGCAGCTAAGAGTATTTCTGTTCAAATGAGGTGGACCTTAGGCCACTGGCAACGAACCTGCACCCAAGGGGCCTCTGAACCTTCCTCCTCCTCTCCTTTCCACCCCCAGCCTCTTGACTTTTGCAGACACTTTTTAATTGTGTTCCTTACTGCTGCCACAATCAGCATGATTGTATAGAGTTCAGTTAGATCATTTACATACCGAGAGTTATATTAAAGCAGAATGCACAAATGAACATGTCATAATTTTTGTTATAATAAATATAAAATTTACAAGTATTGGACCCTTCTGCTTTTGTCTCAGGAGCCAGTTGTGTCTTGCAGAGGATCACACCCACCTTGGGTTTGGAATGAATGGATGTAACTTTGGGTTTATTGGATATTTCTTTGATTTTTTTTTAAGGGGAGACACCCAACAGGTTAGCCTACATTCAATGAGGTAGTGAAATCAACCCTATGGTTAACAACGTAAGTAGCCGGTCTTACAGCCTTTCTATTTCTTGTTATTATTGTGTAGGGTAGACGGTAAAAGGGGAATAGGTGGAGGTTGCATAGAGGAGACCCCTGGAAAACTTCTCCCACACAGCCAAGTTCATTTCCAGTTCTCTCAGGGCCCCCTCAATCACATGAGCAGGTTAATAGACCTTTATTTGAACGGTGAAAATCGGGAGCCGGTTGCCCACTCTCCGCCACTAGCAGAAATAATGTCAGTGCGGCGGGGTCCACTAGGCGATCCAGTGTTCCCGGCTGACTTACAGTCCACCTTTACAGACTGTAGTGCCCACCTCACCCCACCCTTCATCTTGGGAACCACGTGTTGAAGATACTGTTGGTCTTCTCTGTCTCACAGGGACCAGCTTCCCAGTAGACCTGTCTTCCTTCTTCAGGTCTGCCCTCAAGTGGTACCTGACTAGTTCAGTGACAGGACAGGGCAATTAGTGTTTCTTGCAGACTTGGTGATGGGCTGTCCGTCCCTTCACTGGGTGGCCAGATCACTGGACTGACCTTATCTTGGTTATGTCTATACTTCATTCAGTATGAGGCTACTTGTACACCGTGCTCTTTGAAAATCACTAAGGCTTTGGAAGAATGTTGAGCTCATCTCAGCCCAGGAAGGGACCCAGTGACCAAGGGACTAGATTGCCCAAGCCCAGAGCTCTCTGCTCTAGACCAGAAGCAAAACCATTTCCAGATCCCTGCGCCTATCCCCACTCGTGAGCACCTTGCCTTCCTCAGTCTTTGCCCTGCTCAGGTGGATTGGAGCAGACTTGGAAAGCTCTGGGTTTTTACAACAGTAGTGCCTTCTTCACTGTAGAAGATCTGCTCTGACTTCCTCAGTTCTCAAATCCCCTGAGGCCTTGGGTGAGGCATACCCGGACTGTCAGTGTGGGTCCCTCTTCCACCGCAGCTCACTTCTGGAGGGTCAACACATGATGCCCTGAGTGTTGTCGACCGAGGCAGCAGCCATCTGAGAATTCCATGATGGGTCCCATAGCAACTGCTTGTGCCAGGGGCAGCTACTGGGACCTGCAAGTCTTGTGGAGATTTCTCTCCTTTCCTAACTGCTGTGGCTGATATGGGAGAACAGGTACAGGCTTGGTGTTGGTGCTTTCCTGAGTCCACCAGTTCAGTGAGTGCCTGCTTCTCTATTATGTTGTTAAGTCACATTGAGCACATACTGCGTATAAGGTGCTGTGGAGACAAAGGATAAAGCTTTGCCTTTTGGGAACTTGGGGTAAATAGGCATGTGGATGGAAAGATAAGAGTTGAGCCCATGTTACGTGGCCAAAGAGGAGGAAACATACTAATAGGTCTCCTTGCTCTTGCGTAGGAGCCTCCTAGTTATTTCCTGAGGAGTAGTTTCCTTTCACTTCTACTCATCAAGGCAACATCTAATAACATATCTAGAACTGCTTAAAAACTGTAATTACAGTGCTTAATATTTGAAGATCCCTGAAGCCATGGGACCTCAAGGGTAGTATGAGGGAGAAAGGCGTTCCCACTTGCTACATTCACTCTTTCCTGATGGGAAAGCCTGGTATTCGGGAAAGGGTTGGGGAGAGAGGGAAGAAGAGGTTGGAGCAGCGGGTTGGAAGCTCTGAGGAGGCTCACAGCCTTGCTGATAGACTCAAAGCTCCCGACTGAGAACCCTAGAGGGTTTTTGGTGTTGATCAGCCACATGTGTGTCCACGGAATACTGGCTTTGAAGAGGGCACCCAGGGCCAGTCTCTGGAGCCCAGACACCCAACCTCTCTGACCTGGTTTCTGCTGATTGCTTTTGTCACAGCACCACCTGCTGGTAAGACAGGGTACAAATGGGCTTAACGTGTGTTCTCTATCCTTCCTTCACTGTTCCAGAAGAAACAAAGTTTAAGTTACTAATTATTTTCCTAGACGTGTGACAGAAAGCAATCCCAAGCAGTATTACGTACGCAGAGAAACCGCGTTATACCGTATTGTTTTTGCTCCCGTGGAAGTCTGCTTTGTAAGGTGATACAATTGATGACAACTGGTTCCTGTGATGGGCAGTGTTTTTCCATGGGAAATCGACACATGCAGACATATCAAGCGATGTCACCAGCGTCATAGCATTGACCTGGGAGAGAGGAAGTCAGTCTCCAACATCCATCCAATTCCCATTCCTCATGATGAAAAATAAATAAAAATCCATGATATGCTTTAGATCTTACGGGACATCTGCGAGTCAGCTCACTGCTGGCCTGTCCAGTGGGGAGAATACGACAATTCCCATTTGGTGGTAACTCCCATGTGAACAGCCGTCAGAAGGCATTCTGAATTCACCCTGACACGTCAGGAGATGGAATTTCTGTAAAATGTGGGGGCTGTGGCATCTGCATTCCCTACTGCCCGAGTGAGCAAACCAGGTAATGTATTTGAAGTAATTTGTAGAAAGTAAAGCCTTATGTAAGTGCAAGTATTGTTGTCATTGTCATAAATGAAGAACTAAGGACGGTCAGAAAGAAAACAATTGGCAACAAAGCAGGAGTACTTTTTTAAATTAAAAACTCTGGGAGAAACATGTTGAATTGTTACAGGAGGGAGAGATGAGGTAATGGTAGAGAAAATAGGGTTTTCTCATTTCTTGCCATTGAATTTCATTTTTCTTTCAGTTTCTTCCCCAACGTAATGTTTTGTGCAAATGAGTCTATGCAAACTTTTTTATTTCACTATGGTCAGTCATCTGTCATGAGCTGATTCCTAGTGCCGCGTATGTGAAAAATGGCTCTAAGGGCTGTTCCCCTCAATACCAAAAGTGGGTTCAGACTTAATTTGACAAACCCGTTGTCCTGATGGATAACTGAAAGTAGGAGCAACGTCTAGCAGACAAAGCTTCAGGCCAGTGACAGGAAGCAAGCTCCATAACCACCTCACACACCCACCGGCTTCCCACGGCCTTTCCCCCAACACGTTTAGGAAGCACCGGCGTAGAGCCACCACTGTGGTGGGCTCTGGGTCACCACACGGGGCCTCGAATGCAGAGGGGCTTGGGTGCGGTGGTGGCTGTGCCGACCTCAAGAGGTCTTGAGGGTCTGAGCCAGCATGAGGGTGGACTGTGGGGCCCACATACTGTCCCCTCCCTTCTCAAGGACTGAGCTTGAACACTTGACGGGAGGAAATGGGCAAAGGACTCCCTGAGGCCGCCTTCTGTTTTCTGGGCTGTCTGGTAAAGCGGAAGCCACGCTGTCCCCTGCCCTGAATTTAAGTGCCCAGGAGCAAGCGCTGCTATGGTTGGGCTCCGGTTCAGTAGTCCCTTCATTTTATTCTAAATCAGAAACACAGTGTTCTATCCTGTTCAAAGGGGGAACAGCAGAGTGCTTGGAGAATTTTCTTCCATCTGCTTATGACTAAAACTACTGCGATTGTCATTGGTCTCTTTTTCTAAAGACGTGGAAGCAAAACTGGCTTGAAACTGAAATTTCAAGTACTTTCTGGCCATTACCGTTTCTTAGGTCTTATTCCAATAAACTGTGCTTTCCCCTAATTACTAGCCTTATCTATTGAAAGAAAGTTGAAATGGCAGCTAAGATAATTCTGCCAAATGTTGCACCTCCAGATGTTAACTTTTCTTGAACTAATTTATAGGTCATTTGCTGTTCTCAGTCTTTGAGAAAACCGCTCCACAATTAACATTTGGAGGGTCTTAAATCAGTTTTCCACTTAATAGAAATTGCCCTATAAGCCAGGAATAAATCATGCACACAAAATTAAGTCTTTTATTTATTTTAAGGTCTATAATACATTTTAAGAACTGCTCGAATATTCCTTTTCCTAGAGCATTTCAGTAGGTTAAAAATAGCTCCTTGAAATGTGTGTCACATCCCTGCCTACCCTAAGCACAATCAGCCATACTTTTTCCTCAGGAGCTGAAATCTCCATCTCTCACAGGTAAACTCATTAGGATTTTTTTCTAGAAACTTCTTTCAGCATGTATTACAATGCTGTCTTCATATAATTTGCATATAAATTTCACATAAACATTTTTATGAGTCCTTCACTTTTCAGGTTTAAATCTCACCATGATACTCTTCAGATTACAGTGGGTTAGGTTTTGTCCTTGTTCCTTCTCTATTAGCAGGTAAGCACACCAGTGTGACCGGAGAGCGTGGACTTTCCTCTCATCTCAATCTAGTCTGAGCATCACAGGGCAGAAACGATCTCGAGAGTTCACCAAGTGCCCACTTCTAGGCAGAATCCAAACTATGTCGCTCTGCTGAGTGGTTTTCTGTTTTTTCCTGCTGGAGCTCCAAAGATAGAGGCTCTTTGACCCCCTTCATAAACTGTCGAGCACCTACCTGAGTAAGTTGAGCACCCACTCTCTGCAGAAGTGCTGGGGTGGGCAGAGTGCAGTGAGAGGACCACAGAGATGAATAATAAACCACATTTTAAAATGGGGTTGGAGTCACACTACAAATGCACCATAAATATCTACCTGATAATGAAAGGAAAACACCAGTGTAGCCCAGATGTCAAATACTCGGAAACACTGTTAGTCTTCTCACACTTGTCAAATTTGGTGTCCAGCTTTTTGGTTCAGAATTTCTGGCTGTGACTGAGGTGTGAGGAGCCCAACGCTGTCTACATCTGAGTTGGGACTGGCCTAGGAGGCTTTTGAGCAGCACAGGGACTCATCTTTAATGTACAGGTAATCACTCACCCACAAGCCCAGGAGACTGAGGTGTGTCAGCAGAGGTAGGAGGAGGAAAATCACCAAAAGTCCAGGACCATCATTGTCCCTCCCCAAGAGACTGACTACGGAC